GTTTGGGGGGGGGGGGCGGGCCAGACTGTAATGTTGTCGAGCAATTCAGAGTGGTGGATCTCTCCACAGCCACTCTAAATTGCTCGACAACAGTAACAGTGACTAGGGGCTAGGACTAGAATTGAACTTGGCACACAGAACTCCCATGACCAACAGAAAATATTGGAAGGGTTTGGTGCACATTGACCTTGAGTTTTGGAGTTGTAGTTCACCTACATCCAGAGAGCACTGTGGACTCAAATAATGAGGGATCTGGACCAAACTTGGCACAAATACTCAATATGCCCAAATGTGGACTCCGGTGGAGTTTGGGGAAAATAGACCTTGACATTTGGGAGTTGTAGTTGCTGGGATTTGTAATTCACCTACAATCAAAGAGCATTCTGAACTCCACCAATAATGGAATTGAGCGAAATTGGCACACAGAACACCATACCTTGAAGGGACTTGCTGTCACGAACCTCCCTCCAGCCTTGCCTGCTCTCCCTCATCCCGCACATTTGCACCATGCTGTCATGCGCTGAGCATGCCTGCTCTTTCCTTCCTGTTTGGAGTCTCAGAATCAGCCTGTTGACTCCAGACCAGGAAAAACCCTCTGGCTGTAAACACCACGCAGTTGAGTAGGAAAAACAGTCCCTTTATTGAAGATAATTAAAAAGCAGTAAAGTGAAAAGCACTTTAAAGAAATAGGTAAATCCAATTAGGTAGGAAGATGAGCTGGAACAAAGTAGTCCAGGGTAATAGTCCATCAAAGTCCATGAAGGTAAAATAAAGTAAAGGTTGTCCCCTGACATTAAGTCCAGTCATGTCTGACTCTGGGGTGTGGTGCTCATCTCCATTTCTAAGCCGAAGAGCCAGCATTGTCCGTAGACACCTCCAAGGTCATGTGGCCGGCATGACTGCATGGAGCGCCGTTACCTTCCCGCCGGAGCTGTACCTATTGATCTACTCACATTTGCATGTTTTCGAACTGCTGGGTTGGCAGAAGCTAGGGCTGACAGCGGAAGCTCACGCCGCTCCCCGGAATCGAACCTGCGACCTTTCGATCAACAAGCTCAGCAGCTCAGTTTCTCTAATAAAATCCAAGAAACCAGGAAACATGAATCCAAGGCATGAATATAAAATCATAGAATCCAAGAATCAAAACCATGAAACAAAGGCACTTAAGCATGAATCTTTCCAAACAAAGCTTCCAAAAAACAAGGATGAGAACTTATTTATTTTATTTATTTATATTTATTTATAATTCACACTTATATGCCGCCACTCCCTTGGGGCTAGGAGTGGCTTACAAGAACAGGCTAAAATCTAACTTGACTAGATTCCAAACAATGCTTCATCTGACTACATATCCTGTACTTGGGACTTTTATCTCCTCGTTAAGGTATGTCCCAAGCGCTCAGAAATTGGTTTGCTTTAGCTTCAAGTCTCTTATCTTTCTCTCTGAGCCTGGCAGAATGCCGAAGCCACTGTTTGGCTCTTCTGTTTTGACTAATCTTTTCACGTCTATCTATTTGCTCATTAATTTTTGCAGCTGGGCCAGATGCCAAGCTGTTTTCAAGCTCCAAATCATGGGAATTCTCTGGTAGCAATTTAGGGAGCACACCATCATCCCCACACCCTTCAGGGACATTCTCATGAGAAACTACGCTTTGAACAGGGATCTCCTGTTCATTCTCTGCTTCAATATCATTGACCTGTGCATAAGACTGTAAACAGGACATAAATTCTGTGTGCCCAACGGGACGCCAGGGCTGCCTCAGATTAAAGGCCCTTGGATTCCCCAAACACAGAGTCTTTAGATTGCTTAAAGGTTCAACAATGTTATTTATTAATGAAAACAAACAGGTACTTTAAGGCTTTCTTAACAGTCTATTGGCTCTTCAATCTTGTTCACTGGGAACAGGCACTATCTTCTTAACTGTAATTAACTAATGGGGAAATCCTTAACTTCTAATCTGGCAGTCTGTCTTTGCCTCTGTTGGCGTGGAGCCCCTGCACCCGGTACCAACTGCGTCTGGCTTCCGCGAGTGACCCTTACCAAGCAGAGCTTTGTAGACTTCCAGGGGAAAAGAAGGAATTCAGGTTGCTGTGATGGCTGGCTGAAGTTCCTCAGCAAAGGAGCTGTAAGGCTGTATGATCCTCAGCCAAGCTGTGGGGCTGTATCTCCCTGGTCAAGCCGTAGGCTGTATATCTCCCCGGCCAAGCCGTAGAAGACGAAGCTTTCTACAGGAGCTCTTGGTGTTATGTCCTACTTGGAAAGCTGCTCTGTGTGGACTGACTCAAAAAGGCTCCTGTTCCCTCCAAAACTCAAAAAGGGGCGGGACCAGGGAACCTAACGATAATTGACCTATGATTGCAAACTATAACAGGAAGCCACCCTGCTGCAAAATCCTGGGATTGCAAACAAACATTTAATGCAAAGCAAACAAAATTGGAGCTCCTGGTACAGCTGTACCAGCACACTCTGCATCAATATCATTGACCAGACTATTACCATCTTGAAACTCACTGTCATCACTTTCCACATCTAAAGCACCCTGATCCTTAAACACAGGCTGAGCTCCAACATAGCCCTCCCCTTGGCTGAGAGGCCGGCCAATCACAGCGGAGGAGAGCTTTTGGTGGAATGATTCCTTGTCTGTTTCCAAAAAGGAAGAGAAGGACAGGCGGAGAGATCTTCAGCCTTCTCTGCCAAAGGGGTTCCTAAGACCATCAGACATATGTGTTTTCTGATGGTCTTTGGCAACCCTTCTGAAATCCCCTTGCGACCACCCCAAGGATCCCAATATCCAGGTTGAGAAACACTGCACTAGAGAACAGAAAGTGCACACAGTGTGTGTGTGTGTGTACAAACATACCCAAGGAGATAGAAGCAAATCTCTGGAATGTGAGCCTGGATAAGGAACAAAGAAACATTTATTCGGTTTAGGGCAAGAAGGCACACAGAAAGTATACTTTTAAGACAAAGATACAGATGTTCACATTCCTTTCCCAGGACAGTAAAAGACAACTCCCTTGAAAGCTGGGAAAACACAATATTTAAGTGAAAGGGCTTTCATCCAGAATTAGGATTTTTCCCAAAGAGTCATTCCATTTAAGGATTTTTCCCCAAGCTTCGCTTTAGTCATTTTGCCTTCTAATGAGAGCCTGGGATTGACTTCTCCTTTTGGCAGCCCACTATTTAATATTAAGAAAAAAAATATGTTGTTGTTTTTCATTTGTTCAGTCGTTTCCGACTCTTCATGACTTCATGGACCAGCCCACGCCAGAGCTCCCTGTCGGTTGTCATCACCCCCAGCTCCTTCAAGGTCAATCTAGTCACTTTAAGGACACACCTGGAATATTGTGTCCAATTCTGGGCACCACAATTCAAGAGAGATATTGACAAGCTGGAATGTGTCCAGAGGAGAGCGACTAAAATGATAAAAGGTCTGGAGAACAAGCCCTATGAGGACGGCTTAAGGAGCTGGGCATGTTTAGCCTGAAGAAGAGAAGGCTGAGAGGGGATATGATAGCCATGTTTAAATATGTGAGAGGAAGCCACAGGGAGGAGGGAGCAAGCTTGTTTTCTGCTTCCCTGGAGACTAGGACACGGAACAATGGCTTCAAACTACAAGAAAGGAGATTCCATCTGAACATGAGGAAGAACTTCCTGACTGTGAGAGCCGTTCAGCAGTGGAACTCTCTGCCCCAGAGTGTGGTGGAGGCTCCTTCTTTGGAAGCTTTTAAACAGAGGCTGGATGGCCATCTGTTGGGGGTTATTTGAATGCGATGTTCCTGCTTCTTGGCAGAATGGGGTTGGACTGGATGGCCCATGAGGTCTCTTCCAACTCTTAGATTCTATAATTCTATGAATTCTATTAATTAATAAATATAATAAATAATAAAGGTATTAAATGTTAATTTACTAATATGATAAATAAAATGGTATCCCAAGTTAAAAAACAGAATAAATGTGTTCCATACCATATAAGTAGAAACTGTATTTAATATTAATTTATCAATATAATAAATAATAGTGCTATTTAATCTTTATTGGTTATAAATATAACAAATTATTATTATTATTATTATTGTTATTATGTTTATTTATATCCCACTTTTTAGCTCCATAAGGAGACTCAAAGTGGCAAACATTGAAAGCATGACAATACAATTTAAAATATCCAAATATTAAAACAGTATTAAGCATCATTAGTATTAAAACCAATTCAGATCAAATCAATAAAAACATAAAACAGTAAAAATAAAATGATAATTATATTAATAAACATAAGACATATTAATAAATATGGAACATGTCTAGAATTTGCATGTTGCATATATGTTACGATCATATTGCATTTGGAGAGTGAAGAATGAGTGACTTGATTATAAGGATTGGTCAGATTCTAATTATTATTTTTTGTTTTGTAAATTGAGAGAAGTCTGAATTGATTTATAGTTAGTTGGAATTTGTAGTAGTTATAGAGTATAGGAATAATTTAGTGATAAAGGTATGTTTACTTAATGTGTTTATGTTAAATTGAATAAAAGCAATAGATGGAAAAAATGTATCTGCTGTAAAACAAACAATGCATGACAAATGTATTAAATTATAATAAAATAAATTAAAAATATATTTTAAAAAAGAATATTGCAATTGATCACTATGATTAGCATTGAATAGCTTTGCAGCATCAAAGCCTGGCTGCTTACTGCTAGACCTTGAACACTTTCACTGCCATGGCCCTGATATAGTTATAGTTTTGCAAGTCCCAAGTTTCCATGGAAGTTAAAACTGCTGTCAAGTTGTATTCAACCTACAGTGTAGTAGTGATAGTACCTTCAATAATGTTCTGAAAACCAAACTCTTCTCTGTCTGGTCCATTCCTTCGGGTGTCCAATGGGAACCAGAAGTGTGGGTAAAGCCAGCAAGCGGCAGCGTTGTCCAAACTCTTTAACCAAGCCCAGCCTGGCGCCCGGCGATGACGTGTTAACTCCGCGCAGGGAGGAAGTGAGTGCGTGTGTTTGGGAAAGAAGGAAGGAAGGAAGGAGGAGAGAGAGGCGTGTGACGTCGTCGCGCCGTCTAAGCAGGCTCTGTGTCCTGTGGCTGTGTTCTGCCCTCGTTTCCCTCTCTCGCGGGGCCTGGGCGAGATGGAGAGCGCCAGCCAAGGTAGGAGCCTCGTGGGCGGGGAAGGGGAGCAGGAAAGGCCGGGGATGGAGGCGTGCAGCTAGGCCCAGGCCTGGTCTCTGGCTTGGCCTTCAGGGAGGGAGGCAGGGAAGGCCTGGCCCAACTTAGGCCCTCCCTCCAGGGGTTTTGGACTTCAGTTCCCACAATTCCTAACAGCCTACCTAATAAACATAGCAAGTAAAAAAAAATAGTGTTTGATATTTTAATGTTGGTATTCAATAGTAATCGATATAATGAATAATGGTGGCATTTAATATGAATTAATATATCTAATAAATAATGTGTTTCATATTAATTCATATCATAAGTATTAGTGGCATTTAATATGAATTAATATATCTAATAAATAATGTGTTTCATATTAATTCATATCATAAGTATTAGTGGCATTTAATATGAATTAATATATCTAATAAATAATGTGTTTCATACTTACTTACTTAGGCAATTCCTCGCTTTCCGAGGATGATTGTCTTCCATTATTCTTGTGGGTCCGTATGTGGCTGTGGAGCCCTATTCTGCAGCACTGCTGGTCACAGCTGACCTCCAGCTGGAGCGCTCAAGGGCCAGGGCTTCCCAGTTCTCAGTGTCTATGCCAGAGTTTTTAAGGTTGGCTTTGAGCCCATCTTTAAATCTCTTTTCCTGTCCACCAACTTCCGTTTTCCGTTCTTGAGTTTGGAGTAGAGCAACTGCTTTGGGAGACGGTGGTCAGGCATCCGGACAACATGGCCGGTCCCGGAGTTGATGGCAGAGGACCATCGCTTCAATGCTGGTGGTCTTTGCTTCTTCCAGCATGCTGACGTTTGTCCGCTTGTCTTCCCAAGAGATTTGCAGGATTTTCCAGAGGCAGCGCTGATGGAATCGTTCCAGGAGTTGCATGTGACGTCTGTAGACAGTCCACGTCTCACAGGCATAGCAGGGTTGGGAGGACAATAGCTTTATAGACAAGCACCTTGGTATCCCTACGGATGTCCCAGTCCTCAAACACTCTCTGCTTCCTTCGGAAAAATGCTGCACTCGCAGAGCTCAGGCGGTGTTGTATTTCGGTGTCAATGTTGACTTTGGTTTCATATTAATTCATATAATAAGTAATAGTGGCATTTGATATGAATTAATATATCTAAGAAATAATGTGTTTCATATTAATTCATATAATAAGTAATAGTAGCATTTAATATGAATTAATATATCTAATAAATAATGTGTTTCATATTAATTCATATAATAAGTAATAGTGGCATTTAATATGAATTAATATATCTAATAAATAATGTGTTTCATATTAGGTTCTTGTGGGTTTTTTCGGGCTATAGGGCCATGTTCTAGAGGCATTTCTCCTGACGTTTCGCCTGCATCTATGGCAAGCATCCTCAGAGGTAGTGAGGTCTGTTGGAAATAGGACAATGGTTTATATATCTGTGGAATGGCTGGGGTGGGGCAAAGGAGCTCTTCCCTGCTGGAGCTAGGTGTGAATGTTTCAACTGGCCACCTTCATTAGCATTTGAAGGCCTGGCTGAGCCTGGAAAATTCCCCTGTTGAGAGGTGTTAAGATGTGCCTGGTTGTTTCCTCTTTGCTGTTTTGCTTTGCTGTGGTATCCCTATTTACCGTGGTCCCAGTAGCAGACACCATGGCACTCATCAACCAGAGGTTCCCAGAAGACATCACGGCTCTGTTTCACCATTGCCTCACCACCAGTTACCCCAGCCATTCCACAGATATATAAACCCATTGTCCTAGTTCCAACAGACCTCACTACCTCTGAGGATGCTTGCCATAGATGCAGGCGAAACGTCAGGAGAGAATGCCTCTAGAACATGGCCATATAGCCCGAAAAAACCCACAAGAACCGAGGGATTCCGGCCATGAAAGCCTTCGACAATACATTAAAAAAGTAATGTTCGTTTGTGGGATTAACAGAACTCAAAAACCACTGGAATTGACACCAAATTTGGACACAAGACACCTAACAACCCAATGTATGTCCTTCACTCAAAAAAATTGATTTTGTCATTTGAGAGTTGTAGTTGCTGGGATTTATAGTTCACCTACAATCAAAGAGCATTCTGAACCCCACCAACGATGGAATTGAACCAAACTTGGCACACAGTTCTCCCATGACCAACAGAAAAAACTGGAAGGGTTTGGTGGGCAGTGTCCTTTGGTTTTGGAGTTGTAGTTCACCTACATCCAGAGAGCACTGTGGACTCAAACAATGATGGATCTGGACCAAACTTGGCACGAATACTCAATATGCACAAATATGAACACAGATGGAGTTTGGGGAAAATAGACCTTGACATTTGGGAGTTGTAGTTGCTGGGATTTATAGTTCACCTACAATCAAAGAGCATTCTGAATCCCCACCAATGATAGAATTGGCAAACTTCCCACACAGAGCCCCCATGACCAACAGAAAATACTTAAGGCCATCCAGTCCAACTCCCTTCACCAGGGCAAGAAAACATAAACAAAGCCCTCCTGACAAAGAGCCATCCAGCCATAGAGATATATATGATTCACACACACACAGATATAGTATCATAGATTTAAAAGGGACCCCTAAAGAAGGACAATGACATGTTGCATATCCCAGAGTAGGCAAACAATCTCCACATCAACAATGACAAAGAAACAACAAGAAATATTGTTTACTCACAAGCATAAAGAAATTATATATATTAGAAACCAACACTTACTCATTATTTTACTTTCCAGATCACTAGACTGGGCCACAGCAACGTGTGGCAGGGGACCGCTAGTTGCTTTATATAAGTAATGGCAGTATTCAATATTAATCAATATAATAAGTAATGGTGGCATTTAATATGAATTAATATATCTAATAAATAATGTGTTCCATATTAATTCATATAATAAGTAACTGTGGTATTTAATATGAATTAATATATTAATCTATATCTTCTATATAAATAAAAATGTAATGCTCGTTTGTGGGATTAACATAACTCATAACACTGGACGAATTAACACGAAATTTGGACACAAGACACCTAACAACCCAATGTATGTCCTTCACTCAAAAAAAATTGATTTTGTCATTTAGGAGTAGTAGTTGTTGGGATTTATAGTTCACCTACAATCAAAGAGCATTCTGACCTCCACCAACGATGAAATTGAACCAAACGTGGCACACAGGACTCCCATGACCAACATGGGCATTGGTGGACATTGACCCTGAGTTTGGGAGTTGTAGTTCACCTACATCCAGAGAGTGCTGTGGACTCAAACAATGATGGATCTGGACCAAACTTGGTACGAATATTCCATATGCCCAAATTTGCAGACAAATTGAGTTTGGGGGAAATGGACCTTGATATTTGGGAGTTGTAGTTGCTGGGATTTATAGTTCACCCTCAATCAAAGAGCATTCTGAATCCCACCAGTGATAGAATTGGGCTAAACTTCCCACACTGAACCCCCATGACCAACAGAAAATACTCAAGGCCATCCAGTCCAACTCCCTTCACCAGGGCAAGAAAACATTATCAAAGCCCTCCTGACAGCCATCCAGCTATAGAGATAGATAGATAGATAGATAGATAGATAGATAGATAGATAGATAGATAGATATGAGACACACACACACATATATAGTATCATAGATACCCCCCCGCCCCCCAAAAGGACAATTATATGTTGCATATTCCAGAGTAGCAAACCAGACAATCTCTACATCAACACTGACAAAGAAATAGCAAGAAATACTGTTTACCCAGAAGCAGAAAGACATTACATATATTAGAAAACATTACTTTATTTTCCAGATCACCAGACTGGGCCACAGCAATGCATGGCAGGGAACAGCTAGTAGTAAATAAAAATATTGTTTTGTATTGATTAATATAAGTAATGGCGGTATTCAAAATTGATCGATATAATAAATAATTGTGGTATTAGTATGAATTAATAAATAAAATGGTATTTCATATTGATAAACATAATTGCATGTCATATCTATTAATTAATTACTATAATAAGTAATAGTGGCATTTAATATTGATTTCTTAATACAATAAATAATAATAATGCTATTATAATCACAATTTCAGTTTTGTATAATAAGTAATACAAAGAAAGCGAGGCATAGACTTGGAAGAGACCTCAAGAAGTCGTCCAGTCTAGCTTCATTCTGCCACAAAGGAATTTACAATCCAAGTCAGTTTGCACAGTAGGAGGGCCTATTCTGGACTAGAACTGGGTTTAGTTTAGTTCCAATCTCATCCCACAAAGATTGCTGTACCAGACATAGGCAAACTTTGCCCCCCCCCCTTCCAGATGTTTTTGACAGCAACTCCCACAATTCCTAATAGCTGGTAGGCTGTTAGGAATTGTGGGAGCTGAAGTCCAAAACACCTGGAGGGAAGGTCGAAGTTTGCCCATCCTTGTGCTACAGCATACACTTTGTTAGTGAATAAAGTAGCTAAAGTCTAATGCCTATTTATTTATTTAGTCCATAAGTAAATAAGTATAAAACTGATAAAATAAAGGGAGCACGATCAGCTAAATAATTGTAGACCAAAAACGGACAACAGTGACTGCACTGTCTGTGGCTTCATCAAATCTAATGTGCACTTCAATTTTCAAAACCCTGAAATTAAAAGTATTTGCTGGCGAATGTCATGCACAACAGTAAAACAGTAATTATTATTTTATTTCTTTCCCGCCTTTAATTTATATCCCGCTTTTCTCCCCTCATCAGGGATTCAAAGGTGCTAACAACAAGGCATAAGGTATAAAACATACAGGTACATTAGGACAAAAAGGAAATGGACATAGTTAATAATAACAATTAAAATATAATAAGAATGAAACTGTAATAAAAACACATTACAAATTAAAATACAATCAGCACTTTAGGTATATTTAAAATGTCTCAAGGCAAGTAAGAAATAAAATAAAAGGTGCGCTCTTTGTAATATGGCCATTACAGTTGCTGGCTAATTATAGTTCCTTCTTTTAA